ACAGGCACGCGCTACCACGCCCGGCTGATTTTTTGATTTATTGTAGAGATGCGGTCTCGTCAAGTTGCCCAGGCGGGTCGCGAACCTGTGGGCTCACCAAGTTGCCTGGGCTGGTCTGGAACCTGTGGGCTCAGGCAGTCTACTCACCTTGGCCTCCCAAAGTGCTGGGGTTATAAGCTGAGCCACTGAGCCCAGCCAACTTGGTTGCTTTCTTTCTATATGATCTTGGGCAAGTCACTTAACTTCTCTGAATCTCATAAAATGGAGATAGGCTGGATATGGTGGCTCACTCCTGTAATCCCAGCACTTTGGGAGGCTGAGGTGGGAGGACTACCACCCCTGGGTCCAGGGGTTCGAGACCACCTGAGCAACAATAAATCAAAAAGTTAGCTGGGCGTGGTGGTACATGCCCATAGTTGCAGCTACTTGGAAGGCTGAGGCAGAAGGATCGCCTAAGCCCAACAGGTCAAGGGACTGTGGTGGTCGTGAGTGTGCTGCTGCACTCCAGCCTGGGCAACAAGAGTGGCAAGCCTGGGCAACTCCAACTCAAAAAAAATAAAATAAATGGAGGCCGGGCTCGGTGGCTCAGCCTGTAATCCCACGCTTTGGGAGACCTAGGTGAGTGGATTGCCTGAGACCGCAGGTTCAAGACCCACCGGGGCAACTTGGCGAGACCTCATCTCTACAATAAATCAAAAATCAGCCGGGCATGGTAGCGCGCGCCTGTAATTCTGGCTACTCAGAAGGCTGAGGTGGAAGGATCCCGGAGCCCAGCAGGTCGAGGCTGCAGTGGCCGGGAGCATCCACTGCACTCCAGTCTGGGCGTCAGAATGAAACTCCAACTCAAAAATAAATAAATAAAATAAAATGGAGATAAAATGAGGGCTAGGCACAGTGACTTATACCTGTAACCCCAGCACTTTGGGAAGCTGAGGTGGGAGGATCACTGGAGCCCAGGAGTTCAAGACCAGCCTGGGCTACATAGCGAGATCTCTCTACAAAAAAATTTTTAAAAAATTAGCTGGAATCTCTCTCTTTTTCCTCCGTTACAGATCTTCTCTGAAACAGCCCCTTTAATAAATCTCTTGGTCCTGGGGAAAAAAAAATTAGCTGGGCATGGTGGTGCATGCCTATAATCTCAGCTACTAGGGAGGATTGCTTGAGCCTATAATCCTAACTACTTGGGAGAATTGCTTGAGCCTAGGAGATCGAGGCTGTGGTAAGCCATGAGTGTGCCACTGTGCTCCTGGGAGTGAGACTCCAACTCAAAAAACAACAACAAAATGAGGATAAGATGAGATCATGAATGAGAAAATTCCTGGGATATAGTAGGATGTGTAATACCCTAGTTTCTCTCAACCTTTAATCTGGTTTTTATTTTTCCAAATTGGAATCTCACTCTTGTCACCCACACTGCAGTGCAGTGGCACCCTCATGACCACCATAGCCTTGACCTGCTGGGCTCAGGCGGTCCTTCTGCCTCAGCCTTCCAAATAGCTGGAACTACAGATACACGCTACCACGCCTGGCTGGTTTTTGTGATTTATTGCAGAGACAAGGTCTCACCAAGTTGCCCAGGCTCAAACCCCCAGGCCTAGGCAATCCTCTCGCCTCTGCCTCCCAAAGTGCTAGGATTACAGGCTGAGCCACTGTACCTGATCTCAACCTTTAATCTTATGGTTGTGTTGAGTCCCCAGTCTAGATTTCCAGACTGACCCAGCACTTGAGAGAGATCTCAAGGCAGGTTCAAGTGCCAATGTCTGTTTCTGGGCTGAGGTGACTAAGACTGTTCCCATGGGGAGGAAAACCTGGTGAGCTGGTGAGCTGGGCCCCAGTCCCACACTCGGCAATAGACTCGCTCTCCAGGATTACCTGTCTCCTATCCGTCCTTTCAGCTATTCACCCCCTGGAGGGAAGGACCCAGGTGGGAAGAGCAGCAGACTACAAGTAAGTCCTAGAGGAGTCTGTTCCCCAGCCCCTCTGTCTTCCCACCCTTCCTGGGATTGCCCCTAATTTGGTCTAGGAGGTCAGGAGCTCTGGTCTGCCAGTTCCATGGGAGGGGGTACCCTCTACACCCACTCTGGAGCCAGCTGCTATTTTTCCTGGGATGCAGGATTTCAAGACACTGTCTCTTCTGTCCCTGCCTTCCACTTTATCTCCAAGTTGTGGTCTCCAAAGGAAAGACGAAGCTGTGAAACAGGTGGGTAGGGGGTGGTTAGAAGGTGGCTTAGGAATTGGGCATGGTGGCTCACACCTATAATCCCAGCACTTTGGGAGGCAGAGGCAAGAGGATGACCTGAGCCCGTGGGTTCAAGACTAACCTGGGAAACATGGTGAGACCTCTTCTCTACACTAAAAATAAACAAACAAAAAATTAGCCGGGCATGGTGGCACATGCCTGTAGTTCCAGCTACTTGAAAGGCTGAGGCGGAAGGATTGCCTGAGCCCAGCAGGTCAAGGTTGCAGTGGCCATGAGCGTGCCACTGCACTCCAGCCTGGGCACCAGAGTGAGGCTCCAACTCAAAGAAAAAAAAAGAAGGGTGGCTTAGGAAACATAGGAACATTCTTTGGTGAAAGGTGTGACCTGTCTCATCCCTCTTTGCCCCCTTCCTGCCCCAGTCTAGTTCGTGGCCCCTCACCCCACCTACCTTGAACTGACACACCCTTAACCAAAGGCCTTACCTCTCCTGATTTGGGGGCCTGACTTGGGTTTCAGGGTCCTCCCATGACTCGCCACCCTTGTGATGGGGTCCTTGGACAGTGGCTGCCTGGAGGCACCTTCTGCTATATCCAGTGAGTGCAAGTGTCGGGGAACATGGGTATAGATTTTCGTTTCCATGAGACCAAGGAAATAATGGTGGAGTTCTTCCGGAAGTCCCTGGTTACTGGTTGGTACATAAAAAGCCCAACATAGGCCAGGTGCGGTGGTTCATGCCTATAATTCCAGCACTTTGGGAGGCCCAAATGAAAGGGTTGCTTGAGCCCCTGAGTTGGAGACCGCCCTAGGCAACATAGCAAGACCTTGTCTCTACAAAAAAATAGCAGGGCATGGTGGCTCATACCTATAATGCCTGTAAATCCCAGCTACTTGGGAGACTGAGGTAGCAGGATCACCTGAGCCCAGGATATAGAGGCTAGAGTGAGCTGTGATCATGCCAGTGCACTCCAGCCTGGATGACAGAGTGAGACCCTGGCTCAAAAAAAATCCAACCTGCTTAGTGTGAAAACAGACCAATGCAATGGTTCCCGGACCGTCTGCTGGCCCCTGTGCCACCCTTCTTCCTCTGACATGTAGGGTTTCCTGAAGACCCACCCCTCACTAAGCTGTTTTTCTCAGTGTGTTCAGGAATGGGGACCTGTTAAGCCCCCCATTTGGTCTGAAGCTGTCCCGGGTTGCCAGCCAGGACTGGGAAACCATGCTGAAGCTCCTGACTGAGAAGGCCAAGTTGCACGGCGGGGCTGTGCGCAAGTGAGTGTGGGGACCGGGGAGGCCCAGCAGTCCCTCAGGAGAGCCTCCCACCGTTGCAGCTGTTCCTGAGGATGAATGGCAGAAGGAAAGCATGTTCCCCAAGTGGATCTTTCTCCTATGCACAGCCCAGGGCCCTCCTGCCCAGCCCTCAGAGCCTAGGTGATTGGTGCCCAGAGAGCCAGAAGCCAGAGGGTGCCTTGGAATGGCTTGCCCGCCCCCTCCGTCTGCTGCACACAAAGAGGCATGCTGTCCAGTGGCCCTTTGCCTTCCCACCTCTTTCCCCTAGACTCTGCACCCTGGAGGGGATCCCACTGGCAGCAGGGGAGGCTCTGGAGAATGGCCATTACTATGTGGCTGTCGGAGAAGATGAGTTCAAGCCCCTTCCCTATCTGGAGCTGCTGGTGCCCAACCCTTCCTTGCCCAGGGGCTGCTGGTATGTAGGTGGGAGTGGAGGGTAACAGGCTGGAGCAGAGGAAGCCACCCTCTGGGTCTGTGTGCCTTGACTCCAGGCCTGCCTCTGCCCACTACAAGCCTTTCCTTTTGTCGTTGTAGGTATCCTCCAGGACCGATATCTGGGCCCCACGGGCAGGGGGTAGGTGATGCAGGGGACTATGGGAGGTGGGAAGGGGAGTGACTGGCTGACAACTCTTCTGGCTTATGCTGTAACCTTCATTTCATTGCACTGTTCTCACCCAGGCTGGAGTACAGTGGCACACTGCACACAGCCACTGCAGCCTCGACCTGCTGGTCTCAGGCGATCCTTCCGCCTCAGCCTTACAAGTAGCTGGAACCACAGGCATGTGCCACCACGTCTGGCTAAATTTTTTTTTATTTATTGTAGAGATGAGGTTTTGCCGTGTTGCTCAGGCTGGTCTTGAACCCATAAGCTCAGGCAATCCTCTCGCCTCCGCCCCCTGAAGTGCTGGGATTACAGGCGTGAGCTACTGCACCCCGGCTCACTACATCCTTTTAATAATCTTGTGAAAGAGAGATCATTCCCAGTTTCCAGAGGTGAAAACAGAGGCTCAAAGGAGTGAAGTGGTTGACAGTTATTGAGCGGCAGGGGCCGGACTAGAACTCTGATCTTCAGGACTCTGATCTGTAGGACTTAATGCCTTCTTACTAGGTGAGATGCTAGGAGAGAGTACTGGCATATACGGCACGGCAAGGTCCAAGGGAACGTATTCCAGGCCTACGCCCTCCCAAGAGATGAGCCAGTAAGGATGGGGGTGGGGACACAGTCTAGTTTCACTGGGCATGCGCAAGTGCCAGGCACCAGCTGCTCTGTCCCTGGACAGGGCAGCCTGGTGGGAAGTGGTAGCAGGGAGGGAGATGCAAACTGTGAAGATGGATGGCATCTCTTCTCCCGAACTCCCCCAGGCATCAGGGCAATCTGAAGGCAGAACTGGGAAGTATGAAAGGTCAGAATAGCCAGCAACCAGGGTCCCAGCCCAGTGTTCCTTCTACAGGCTGGTGGACACAGAGCACAGGCAACCCAGCCCTCTCCTAAGGAATCAGGCCGAATCGAGCCATCTGTTTCCTGTGTTCTCTCATTTCCATCAGGTGAGGGACCCCTGGGGCCCAAGTCCCTCTCAGCCACCCATTTACAGTGCATACATGGGATGGTCCCTCCTATGTCTGGAGACGTCCATGGGGGCAGAATGCCCAGGCACAGAGTGGGCCCTGACCTCAGCATAACTGTCTCCTACTCCCACATCTGCATGTCCAGTCCCTTACTTCTTCCTAGGGACCTGCCATATGAAAAGAAGCACATGGGAAGGGCAATGCTTAAAGCCACGAGACTGCAGTGGTGGGACAGAAGGGATGGGAACGGGACCAAGGGGCTGCCTCTCAGCTTCCCTGCCCTCTGCTGAGGTCGTGAGGATGTGGAACAGGACTCTGGGGAGGGAAACGGGGTGGTAGAGAAGGTCAAGGGAAAGAGTGCTGAGGGCTGGCCAGCCTGGGCAGCAGCTGGGGTAACCTCCCTCATCAGGAATCAAGGGAGTGTATGGGGCTCCCCGCCCAAGGAGGGAGACAGCAGGAGCCCAGGAAGTAGCAGATGATACAGAGCCCCAGACAGAGGAGCCCTTGGGTCTGGTAAGCTGTTGGGTCAGGAAGCAGTATGTTGGGATGAGAGGAGTTCTCAGCCCTCTGGGTCCCAGGTACAGTCTTTCCCCCTTGGTAAATGAGGAAGCAGTTCCTAATTTCTAAAGTGTCTTACTTTCCTGGGGTGAGGGAAAACCTGGGTAAGGGCTAGAGGCTGGCCATGCTCACGACTCCAGTCTTTGTGACCTTCCTGTCTTCTTCAGAGGGCAGCACAGACAGTGGAGGAGGCCCTGTCCCTGGAAAACCAGCCTGGCCTGGGGCTGCTATCTCAGCCTCAGCTCCACCATCTTGAGAGCCAGCAGCTACAGACAGGAACTGGGGACCACCACCCTAGCCACCTTTCGTCCTCAGCCCCTGCAGCCTGTTCCTCAGGAGCCAGTGTCTCCCCTGGATCCACAGGGTACACTGTGGTCTCCTCAGTCCCTCCCCCACCTGCTCCTCAACCCACAGCCCAGTCTTCACTTCCTCTCTGAGCTGAGCAGTTGTGGAGGCTACTTCCTTATGGATTCTCTAGCTAGACAGAGGAGTAGCCAGCTGACTGAGCTTAGGAGAGAAGCCACAAACGTGGGGATGGATTTGTCACAATAAAATACTACTACTAGTCTCTGTCTGTTTACCACAGATTTATTGCCAGCTAATACTCTCCGGGTGTTGCACTGGGTGCTGGAGTTAGGCAGTGCTGGACTCACAGTTGTCTAGCTGCTGAAGAGGGGCTGGCAGTGAGGATTTCTGCCTGTCTCATGGGTGGGACAGGCAAGACTAACAGCTGCCTCTCTTGCACCTGCCACTCTGATGCACCTTCTTCCCCTCAGCTCCACCCCTCAGTCGGCCAGGGCACTCTGACTGAGCCCTGGAGGCTCCTGTTAGCATTTCTGGCTCAAAGACTGCAGCTGGCCCTTGCTACACAGTTGGGGTTCTGCAGTCCATCGAACCTGCCACTGTGACAGTCCAGATCAGGCCATAGTAACTGACTGAGCTGGTGACTGAGCTGGAGGCCTGAGGTGACAGCAGGAAGAAAGCTAAATTGCAGCAGCTGAACACGACTTGAAGGTTACAGAGTCCTCTCCCTCTTGTTCTCTTATTGTGATCCACGAGGTAGCTGTTATCCCAGAAGAGATGAGGAAGCTGAGCCTCAGAGCAGGAAGTGCTAGGTCAATCTGCTCACTGCCTGCAGCTCATGGCCAGGGGCTTCCTAGAGACAGCAGAGCTGGAGGTGGGGTCGGCTCACTCAAAGGGTGGATGGTTGTCCCTGGGTCTTGGTCACTGAGCTTGTGATGCAGAGTACAATTCCCGTCACGGTGAGCACCATGCCAGCAACTGCTCCTGGAATAATGGGCAGAAATCAAGGGGCTCTGAGCCAGCCATGCCAGGAGGAGCTACAGGGCTAGGGGAAGGACTCAGATAGGATCTGGTCCTGTCCCGCCCAGCCTCTGTCCCCAGGCTGCCCAGAGGAAGGAAACTGATGGCCACAAGGAAGCAGTAGAGCCATGGAGGAACTCTCCTCACCCGCCTCTGGGGGATGGGCTCTTGGAAGCAATTAACCCAGGTATATCAAGGCCCAGGTAGCAATGTCCCGCACTCATAGTTCGTGACTTACGATTTCCACCAATATCTTCTCCAAGGATCTTCCCAACAATCAGTGTGAAGATGATAGCCAGGGAGTTACAGATGGGCACAGCTAGGGTCAGATCTGGATGGTCAGAATGAGAAGAAACCTGAGATGCAAAAAAAAAGAAAATGCCTTTCTAGGCACAAAATACTTTCATTTCATCATCATCGTCATTTTATACTTCTTATTTATTTATTTTTAGAGACAGAGTCTTGCTCTGTTGCCCAGGCTGGAGTGCAGTGGAACCATCATCCTTCTCAGTCTCCCAAGTAGCTATCACATCCAGCCTTTTTTTTTTTTTTTTTTTTTGAGTTGGAGTCTCACTCCGTCGCCCAGACTGGAGTGCAGTGGCTGCTCCCGGCCACCGCAGCCTCAACCTGATGGGCTCCAGTGATCCTTCCGCCTCAGCCTTCCAAGTAGCCGGAATTACAGGCATGCACTACCACGCCCGGCTGATTTTTTTATTTATTGTACAGATGAGGTCTCGCTGCCCAGGCGGGTCTCGACCTGCGGG